TGTGTGTGTGTGTGTGTGTGTGTGTGTGTGTGTGTGTACATGTGCTTGCAAGCATATAGGTCATAGAACAACTTAGGAGAGTTGGTTTTCTCCCTGGGCTCCAGAGATCAAACTCAGGTCTCAGTCTTAGTGGCAACACTTTACCCTCTGACCCATATTGCTGGCTTGGACCTATAGCTTAATGTTTAAAATATTTTAAAATGCATCATGTGTATAAGTGTTTTGCCTGTATGTGTCTGTGCATGCCTGGTGCCCATGGAAGCCAGAAGAGGGCCTCAGATCCCTGAACTAGAGTTACGAATGATTGTGAGCAGCCACGTGGATGTTAGAAATTGAACCAGAACCTTCTCCAAGTTTCTGTAGCTGGTGAGAGAGTTTAATTAACTAAAGTTTAATGAAATCCCTATTAAATCTCCTAGACCTAGGGACTAGACGCTCTTGTTCACAGGGCTTAAAGATGCAGAGATGAGAAACCGTAGTTAAGAAAGGATGTCAGCGGCAGGGCTGGTGAGCAGGACGGTTGTTTGAACTACTTCTTGGTTCCCAGGCCCATGAATTCTCGTTACTAGAGATAGACCTATGTAATGGTCATCTGTTCTATTAGGGAGGATGGCACATCATTCTCAAACAATATTACTCAAATCCAATTTTAAAGACTGCTTTCTTAATATGCAACACCAGCTGTCCTAGGTTCCTTGGGTATACAATCTTAAGAGCTGCATGCAGTGAGTTTACTAGAGATGAACTTGGGCTCGGAGCCAGCGGCTGGGGGTTCTGGAAGTGGGATTGCCCAGAAGAAGGTGAATTGTATTGCTGCTACGTCAAAGGCTTCAGTTGACCCACGAAAGAGCCTCTCAAGCTTGCTAGCCCTGAAGCTGTCTCCACCAACAATGCCCCATCTCAGCTTTTCTGTCTATTAAGTTGTCTCTGATGAGATCTGCTCCTGGGAAGCAGAGGTGATCTTGGGTAAGTGGCTGTTTTTTAAAGAGGAAAATTATTTTTCTTCTCTTAAACTCATGGTGGCTTATTCGTGTGTTTAGGAAATATTTTTAGCTCATATTTTGCTAACAATCTGTAGATCTTCCAAATAGGGTTTTATTTATTATATATGTATGTGTGTTTACTTATGTATCTATTTATTTATTTGTGTAGAGCCTGATGCTTCATGCATGTTAGGCAAGTGCTCCATCACTCAGCTACATCCCCAGCCCAAGTAGGAAATTTTAAATAAGCCTCTCCCATATTACACTTTCTCAGCCTGGAATTTCCTTGACTGAATACAATAATGTACATATGAACTTCAGATTTGAGAAGATCAAAATGATGGCTGTATATTCTCTTCTGAAAAATTTTACTGTTATAAAACTGTTTATTTGTTTGTTTGTTTTTCCAAGACTGGGTTTCTCTGTGTAGCCCTGACTGTCCTGGAACTCACTCTGTAGACAAGGCTGGCCTTGAACTCAGAGATCTGCCTGCCTCTGCCTCCCGAGTGCTGGGATTAAAGGCATGGGTCACCACCACCTGGCAATAGATAGTTGTTTAATGCATAAACTAAGCCACTGGTGAACACCTTTTTGGTATTTTTTCCTGTGGAAGCCAAATTAACAGAAAGCGCTTGCCTATCATCTGTAGTGACAATCTTAACTATATACATAGAAATCTACAAATATTGAAATGTAGAATATAGTATGAAATTTGCAGTATTTTACATGGCTGAGGTGGGCAAGTAGAATGTTCATTTGCAAAAAAAAAAAGTTCCTGCCCTCTGTATTACATTATAAATGACCAGAAAGGAGAAATATCTTATTCTTATTAGCAATAACAAATCACATTGGGGCTGTAAAGATGGTTCAGAAGACTCTTCCAGAGGACCTGGACTTGATTCCCAGAATCCACATGGGAGCTCACAACCATCTGTAACCCCAGTTCCAGGGGATCTGATGCCCTCTTCTGGCCTCCACAGCCACTAGGCACGCAAGTGGTACACACAAATACACACAGGCAAAAACGTCATACACATAAAAAAGTGGCACATGTTTAAGAATAAACTTACTAAAAAAT